TATTATTATTATTATTATTATTATTAGCAATATTGTTATTTTCTTACTTTGTTGACCTGAGAAAACAGTGGAATATATTTGAATAAATCAGTAAAAGAAAGAAAAGAAAGAGGTTGAAGTTCTCCTGTGATAGAGCTGTATAAACGGTGTGTGTATACCAATGATGGGTAAGGCCTAAGCTAAGGGAAATGTGGGAGCCGAAGAGGAGAATGGGGAGAAGAGAAATCGTAAAACTAAGTATGTATAACTTAAAGAAAGGGGCAAAAGATAACTACGAGAGAAATATTTCCAATAATCTATGCCAAAAAAAGAAATTGTGTTTATGTGGCTCCAAGTACTTTGTTGTCCGTGTTGTAAGTAATGTGGGGATCTTTAACCGCTGTAATTACATACCGACAACATCTTTGGTTCCATATTTGTTTTCTTGTTGTTATTCCTCTTTTCCTTATTCTTGATAATATAACTTCTTTTTTGTTATGCGAGTGTCTTTCTGTGCATTTTTGTTGCACAGTTTTTCCTTCGTTCATTATGTTTCCCTTTCCTTCTTTCCTTGTTTCTCTGTTTACATGAGTATGGGGTAGAGGACCATGTAGACCTCTATCCTCGTATATACATGTAAATTTATGTGTATTCCTCTTCACTGTTTGTTTTTTCTTTCCTTGTTTCTGAATCTGCTGTTGTTTATTAAAACTGTACAATCTTCAGGTCCACTAGTGGCGCATCATATGATTAAATCACGAGCACGAAATGATAGCTGGTGGTGTGCTAAGGATCGCAGTGCATTTCGGGTGGCACCACCACAGCGCTATGTGATTAACAGAAGTAATCCTGCTATAATACCACACAATCTCTCGGTGATAGTGGTGATGGACCCAAACATGATAGAACCTACTGCATTTCTTCAGCCCATTGCACCACTTTCTGCTGATGATGGAAGTGGTGAGAATGGCACCATTTCCACCTCAGAACTCGCCCAACAGAGTTCGCCCAGTGGAGATCTGAACATTCCTTCATTCTTTAAATTACACGTGTATGTCTGGGACGACACGACACTACGTGAAATTCTAGAGGAAGTTCTGGCTTTAAGTGCCGCAGCGAGACGTGTGCTGATGCCTCATCCCCCTGTTGTACTAACAACAACAAGAACAGTTGAGGAGGTAGGAGTGAAGGAGGATGGGAATGATTATATGGGGAAGAAGGCGTTTCTATCGGAATCGCACGAGCAAGGGAAAAATGCAGGTAAGGATGGAGTTGAAAATAATCAGGTTGATATTGATGTGGAAAAGAATGACGGGAGTGTTGCATCAGGGATAGATGATGATAGTAATTCCGTTAAGAGTGAGGAGAATGAAAAAGCAGAACCTCCTTTTAAACGTGATCGCACAGAGATGGAAGATGAGAAGGAGGCTCAGCAGAATGTTTCCTCTGAAGTGAGAAGGATGCGGGGGAGAAATAGTCACCCTGGTGCACCACCAGTGACTAAGGTACGTGTTTCCCATGTCTTTGTTGATAACAACAAGAGACCGCAAATAAGAGGTGTCACCGTTCTTCGAGTTGATAAGCCTATTTTTCACGCAGGTGATTATATTACTATGCAAGAACTACGAATTTCAAGAGGTGGCGCTAGAGGATGGAAGAATGGGGATTTGTTGGTGCTGTCACCGCTTGTACGATACCAAAAATCAACATCAATATGATCTATATATATATATGGTTCTGGTGTTGAGTGTGGGTGTATTGTTTGTGTAGGTGTACTCTATGTAGTGAGAGCTAAAAGGAAGAAATAGAAAAGGTGAAAAGGGTGAGAAGAGAGATCGACAGCGATAATACAAAGAGGAAAAAAGAAAAGATAAGTGGGGTAGTAAAACCAATAAGTGAATGGAAGGAGTACTCTGCTCAGTTTGTTGTTTTTATCCCTCTTTTTTGTTTATTATGCTTCTCCTTGATATTGATTCCTTTGTTTTTCTTTTTTTTTGTTGTTTTTTCCTTTCTTTGACAGGTATTAAATTTATATTTATTTAGTGAAAATAGTTTTTTGATATTATTCTTGTTTTTTTCTTTTATTAGGCATTTGAAAAGGTTTTTTTTTTTTTTTGTTTTTTTGTTTTGGTTGTACGTCTTGAAATGGAGGAATATGATATAGATTTAGAGGAAGCGCTGGGCGTCGCAATAGAGGCTGCGCGGAAGGCGGGAAACATCATGTGGGAGTTCTATCAGTACAGAAGAGAGGCGGTCGCAGCTGACGCCGCACGGGCCTTCAGGGATGAAAATAATAACGATAATAATAATAATAATAATAATAATAATAATAATAATAATAATAATAATAATAATAATAACGCCACCGCCAGTCGTTCTGGTAAAGTAACAACGATGCTTGACGTTTCGGAAAAGTCTTCTAGTACGGATCTTGTGACACAATATGATAAGATGTGTGATGAGACGATTACAAAGATTTTAAAACGTTTTAGTGCAAGTGTGGAGCGTGCCAAACATGAGGCTGGATTTTCATCCTTTGCGTTTAATTTCATCACGGAAGAGATTTGCCCAGATGCACCCTTGACAGATGCACCTACATGGATTGTGGATCCTATTGATGGAACCATGTCTTTTGTTCATGGTTGTTGTGATTGCTGTGTCAGTATTGGTCTTACTATAAAGAAAGAAACAGTTGTTGCGGTTGTATATTGTCCATTCCTTTCTCCTGTACGTAATGCGTTATCTGGATCTCTTTCAAGTGTTCACGTTGGTGAAATGTATACTGCTATTCGTGGTAAAGGGGCTTTTCTTAATGGTCATCCCATCTGCCCAAGACCAGATGCCACACCAGAGAATGCCATGGTGGTATTTAACTATCCAACAAATGCAAGACTTTCAGATAAGGAAAAGGAAATCAGTGCTGATCAACATAATGTGATAAAAAAAGAAAAACATGATAAAATTGTTGAAGCCTCTTCCCATATTCGCCGTAAACTTGTAAGACATCCTGTAGAAGGTATTCGCGGTTATGGAGCCTGTGTTTTAATCCTTGCACAGATTGCTGCCGGTCGGGTAGATTTATACATGGAACCAGCAGGAATGATATGGGATGTGTGTGCTGGCAGTCTACTCGTAACAGAGGCTGGTGGGGTCGTGAAAAATATTTGGGGTCAACCATTCGGACTGGAGGGATCCACAACGATTGTAGCCGCAGCAAATGAGACACTCGCCACCTTTGGGGCACAGTTGTGCACAGAAGTGAATTATGGAGATTTCTGGTTGAGATGAGAGAAGGGAGAGGATGTGTGGGTGGATGTACCGGTGTGTGTGTCTTTTTTTTTTTTTTCTCTTTTTTCTTCTCTAGGAACAACTACCATTTTTTTTTTTCTCCCTTTTTTTATTTTTCATTCTTTGTTCTTCACGTCGCTTTGAGTCTCTGTGTTAAATGAGTCTCTCGGCCCATTTTTCCCAATTTTTTTTTTTCGTTTGTCTCAAAGCAAGTATGTATATATATATATAGTGAATTCTATCTTTTTTTTTGCTGTTATTTTGATTTTATACGCTTTAAATATAATTTTTTTTTTATTTTTTTTTTTTTTCATTTATTGTGCCATTTTTTTTTAGCGAGTTTTCCCTTCTTTTTTTAACCCACTTCATCCTTTTATTTTGGTGGGGGTGTGAATTTCTACACCGATTCTAGGAGAGAAGAGACAAAGAGCAATACTATCAAAATGGCCTCTGGTGGTGTTTTTCGCAATCGCAATGTAGTTCTTACCATGGCATTTAATTTCCTTGATGGAGCGTGCTTTAGTGTCTGGAGTGCGCAACTGCTGCCAGTGTTGGTGAACTCTTTAGGCGGTGATAAGGCTGTTGGTTGGTGTGCAGCCGCATTAGGTGTAGCGCAGATAGTGGGAGCCACTATTGCTGGTTATACCGCAGATAAACTACCACGTAAAGTGGTAATTCGCATTGGTGCCTTTTCTGGACTTGTTGCCGTTCCATCTACTATCGTTACTGTGCAGTTACTTGTGATGCCATCATTTTACATTTCCCAAGCTCTCTGGGGTATCTATCTTGGTATGGTTTCTACAAGCTCTGAGGCACTTTTTGCAGATAGTGTGGCATCTGGTCATCGTGCATTCATTTACAATCTTAAATGGATTATTCAGATTGTCTGTTATTGTGTTGGTTACTTAGTAGCGCTTATTATGCTTTTGGTAATGGGAAATGTGTGGTCTACGAAGAGTCTGCAGATAGTAATGACAGTAGGACTGGCCGCCCATCCTATTGCTCAATTACTGTTATTATTATTAAAGGATGAAAATGCACTGCGTGTTGGTGATAGTGATTTACAAGCAGCAGCAGCCATTAAAAATAGTAATACAATACCACAAAAGAAAGTTCTACAATCTACGCTTACAACAACACTTATTGGAGAGGAGGAAACTATTGTCACGTACGCTGAGAATAAAACCTCTATTCAAGTTAATGCTAAAGATGAAGAGAACTTATCTCTGGGACTCCAAAATAACTCAAAGGAATATAGAGAAGATCATATAAACCAAACTAACGTATGTGAAACTGATACTTATTTATATTTTAATTCACCAGACTCTCATGATTATAGAGCTATAGTTTCTTGGATATGTTCACCAAATGCAGTACCCTATATGGTTTGTTTTACCGATTTCTGGATGGCTGTTGGGTCTGCTATGACTGTGCAATATATAACTCTCTTTCTAGTACATGATTATAAAATTACACCTACATTGCTGATGGGTGCTTATATTATTATCTCCTGTAGTGCCGCTCTCTGTGCTGCCATTGTACGATATGTGGGTGAGCATTATATTGGGCGTCTACCTGCTGTTATTGCCGTACGCATTGTGGGTACAACTTTTTTACTATTGCTCGCCATTGCAAGAGGTCCTATGGCAAAGTTTGCCCTGGTGGTTACTTTTTTTATTATAAGGAATGCAACTATGAACTCCACAATGGGTATTACACGCAGTGTGATTATGGATTGTGTACGTAAGGAAAGTCGTGCCAAGTGGTCAGCGTTTGAGAGTTTCTCCTCCTTTACCTGGGCCGGTAGTGCTGTGATCGGAGGATATATCGCTGATGCCAAAGGCTATCAGTTTACATTCTTTATTACTGCGATTATTCACTACGCTGGTATACTCGTACTTATTCCCGCTGCAGTGGCAATGCATGGCGCAGAGACGCGTCTACGTGCAGTGAAACGAGCACAGCGAGAGGCGCAACGAAATACTGGTTTTTCCTGAAAGGGGAAAAAAAGAAAAAAAAAAAAAAGAAAAAGGCAGTCTGGAGTCAATGTATTCTAGTATGTTGTTGTTTTTTTATTATTACTACTATTATTATTACTATTATTATTGTTCATCTGGTTTATTTTTACTAGGGAGTGGCCGTAAGAGTGGATGACAGATTTATAAACCGAAAGATTAACGTGGGGAGGGAGAAAAGAAATCGAACTTTGCGTGTGTATTTATCAAGTATAAAATCAAATCAACTGAATACTAGTCTTTTTTCTTTTTGTTTGCCTTATTGGTCTTGTTTTAACCGCTGTGTATCTCTCTCTTTCCCTCTGTATTTTTAGCTTTCTCTATTCACATTACTTATTTTGCTGTTACATGGGCGAAAACGCGCGGGTAACAAACCAGAGGGGTCGCGCGATGCGTGATTACGAACCCAGTGGTTGGGCCGCATTGCACAATCGAAACGTCCAACGTGTACTTATATTTGCTTTTATTAATGGGGCATGTTTTTCACTATGGTTTGCACAGGTGTTTCAAGTCTTAATTAATCGTCTCTCAGGCAACACAACAGTGGGTTGGCTCTCTGCCACCTCCGGATCTGCTCAAATGGTTGCAGCCGTTATAGTTGGTTTTATCCCCAATGTACCACGGCAGGTGATTCTCCGTATTGCTGCTGTTACTGGTCTTCTTGCCACGGCGCTCTCCCTATATGGAGTGGCGATATTAGAGGTGTATGTCTTCTTCTTCTCCTCTGTACTCTGGGGAATGTACTCTGGCATGGTAGCAACAGGCACCGAAGCCATTTTTGCAGATAGCGTAGAAACAGGAAAGCGTGATTTTGTGTATAATCTCAAGTGGATTAACCAGACCCTTAGTGACTGTGTGGGATCTCTCGTCTCGCTTGTTATGCTTTTGCATCTAGGGAACCATTGGGACACGGAGAGCATAAGAAAACTTATGTGCACGGGACTCCTACTACACCCCATTGCTCACCTTCTGCTGTTTACAATGAAAGACAAGTACTCACTAGATGAGAGCACAAATGATGATAATCTAGTACACGTTGATGTTGTTATTTCCGATGCCACCCTCACTGCAGAGACCCCTTCTGAGGTTTCTGTAGCTGAGCCTGGCGCTAGCCAAATAGAAAAGCAATCAGCTCATCATTTTCCTCTCCGTACCATACCATCAGATAAGACTCTTGCTCATGATACTGATGCTGGCAGTTCACAAATCGTAGAATCACCTTTTATAAGCCCAACGGCATCTGGAGGTGCAGTTGCCCAGCGTGAGGCCATTCTCTTTCAGCTCGCAGCACAGAGTATGAGGAGAGAGGAAGAGTACCGTGCTGCTCAGCAGGACCGCAGCCGATTGGGGAAATTAGCCACGTCTGTATGCTATTACGCCAAATGGCCTTGGGAGTGGTCAGCAGTTCCCTACTTGGTCTGCGCCGTAGATTTTCTCGTAGCTGTTGGTTCTGGTATGACAATGCGTTATATTCCTCTATTCTTTGTAAACGACTACGGTGTGAGTCCGGTTGTTCTCACGACCTCATATATTATCACCTCTATAATCAGTGCCTTGCTGTCCTCTCTAGTGCGTTACGTTGGTGAGTATTATATGGGTCGTCTCCCTGCTGTGATTTGTGTGCGGCTAATCGGTACAACCTTGCTGCTATTGATGGGCCTCACGCATCTCCATCTTGGTATTCTTTTACCTATATTTATCATAAGGAATTCAACTATGAACTGTACTCGTGGAGTTACACGCAGTGTGATTATGGATTGTGTACGTAAGGAAAGTCGTGCCAAGTGGTCAGCGTTTGAGAGTTTCTCCTCCTTTACCTGGGCCGGTAGTGCTGTGATCGGAGGATATGTCGCTGATGCCA